CGGAAACAGTAATGAAATGGGCAACCATTTCATCATCATTATTTCTCCCAATGATTTCGCCCACCGCACCGGGATTCAGAACAAAAGCCAGCATTGTGGATCTAGTAAGGGCGTAACAAGAAAGCTCAATGCAATTTGAACTATGACTGTAATACGGGTTTTTGTGTATGGATGCTGAATGAGGGCTTAACCTGGCTTTAGGAAGGGCTTACCTGTGGCCCCTCCCAACAAACATTCATAACCGCATGGGAAGCCAGGTTTTAATCCTCCTCTCCCCGAGCCCACAACCCGAAGACAAATAAAGAACCCCCCGGCAACAATCAATAATCGCCCACGTGCCCCCCCCACTTCCCATCTCTTCTGGTTTCTAAGCTGGTGATGTTCTTCTCCTTCCGCCCCGTGTGAAGAAAAAGCTCGCTTGTGCCTTCTAACGATGTGGTGTCACAGCAGACCTACGAAAACCAGTGCGCGACTAGCGGGATCCCTTCGACACGGGTGATGTTCTCAAAACCTGTTCAACGTCAAGTGCTGTGGGCATGGGTGTGCTTACCACCGAGAAAGCTCGGTTCGTTCCTCCTTCGACCTTGCTACTCGTATGCGAGACTCAGAGAAAAGAGCTCGTACGCGACTGCGCAGATATGATTATTCCTAGGCTGTGGTATTGCGGTACGATGGAAGTATGGGCCAGGAGAAGTGGGCTTGGCTCGGTTACCGCTCGGGATGTGGACTCGTACATGCACGCTGTAGAAGACAGCCTTACTTGGCAGATCTTGGAAGAACGCGGTGCAACTCAGTTGACGGAACTGTCCATTCTCAAAAGCCCACAAATGTTCAAATGTCATTCGAGCGCATCGCTCACTTCTTGAATTGAGCAACAGCTTTCGTTAGGAGGAGCAGGGATGGCATTGGGGGGGGAATGGGAATGCGGAATGCAGGAACATTATCCCCGCAAGTACAGGGATCTCAAAGAGAACAGGACCGGAATCCGTTCCACAAGAACAGGGCGAACCAACCCGTTGGGAGGGGAACATCCAGGCATATGGTAGTATACAGTGAACCACAAAAGCTTTGATAGCATTACGCTTGTCAGAGCGGGTTTGCACTGGAACGTGTCGTCTCAAATCTCAGTCGAGCAGCTGTACTGGCAAAAGGCAGCTGCATGTCCTCGTGTACGCGGGTCTCGACTTCTCGAATATTGAAGTGTTGGAGCGTTTGTCGGCACTCGATTTATACAGTCCAGCTAATTTTTCCGCCAGATTGCGAAATGTGGCACTGGGCGCATCTGGTGCTGGCGCCTTAATTATCCCAATTCGTCCTAAGACGAGAACATGGCTGGTGCTCGAGGTTTGTCTTCTGATAGAAGCCATTGGCAATGCTTGCCTGCTTGGTTCAACATTTTCCGAGGGGCATAGAGCAGGACAGTCTGACGAGTCTGATGTAAATCGAAGGCTGCCAGCACCGGTCTTAGCTGACGCTGTTAAGGTCTTTTGCCTTGCCATCTACTCCTTGTCGCCGTCGACGCACGCTGCCATGGCCCCTGGCTTTCCCATCCAGGACCGGTGCAGTTGTTCCCGTGACTGCAATGAGCCGATTCCTAATATGCTAGTTGCTGGACAGGAGCAGGATTAGAAGCAAGAGAAGGCGTCGTAGCAGCAGTTGTAGCAGTAGCAGTAGTAGCAGCAGTGGCCGTGGCCGTGGCCGTGGCCGTGGCAGTGGCAGTGGCAGTGGCAGTGGCAGTGGCAGTGGCAGAGGCAGCACTAGTAGCAGTAGTAGCAGTAGTAGCAGTAGTAGCAGTAGTAGCAGTAGTAGCAGTAGTAGCAGTAGTAGCAGTAGAGTAGTAGCAGTAGTAGCAGTAGTAGTAGTAGTAGTAGTAGTACTAGTACTAGTACTAGTACTAGTACTAGTACTAGTACTAGTACTAATACTAGTACTAGTAGTAGTAGCAGTAGTAGTAGTAGTAGT